AAATAATTGTGAAAAGAAGAGATTCTAACTTTAAAAAAATATATTATATAAAAGAAAATTGACATAAAAAAAATCAAATAAATAAATTACACAGTACAATGTCTGGGTGTTTTGGAAGGTGCCTAAGGGAAAGGTTAATAATCAAGTCAATGAATCTCTTTTTGATGAAATACAACATATTTGAGTTTGTTCAGAAACATCAGCATAAAACATACAAAAGATTGTACCTTCTGGTAGTTTATTGGCTTCTGTTGATTCTGCAGACGGTATCCTAATACCAAATGACCAAGAAGCATTGTCAAAAAATCTCGATGTTATGCCGTTCCTTGTAGATCCCCTATAATTGTTTAGTCCCAATTTCTTTTCAAGTAAGAACTTTCGTGTATTTTTAGTTAGTAAACCTGCATGCTTTGCGGCCAGGCACACAGAAGATTCCTGATTGGATGAAACACAATTAATTGAAAACAATTTAGCAAAATTGCTTACATTTTTAAGGTAAATATGGTTCTTTGCAACCTTTAGAATCTGGACATTTTTACTTTTCAACTTACGGGCATGTAGTCATCAGTGCCCCACACAGTTCCTTGTTCATCCTGGCAATCTTCTGGACATGTGACTCTAAAAGAAATCACACAATTTATTGCAGAATCTTTTGTGGGATAGATGCTCAAGGTAATAATGCATTCACCTTAAACAAGTGATTTTGATTAGGTAGAGATACTTACTCTGTATCTTGATCCTTAAATTGTTTTGCAGGGGTAGAACATTCTAATGTTACTGTGGGAAAACAAAAGTATATTAGAAAGGCACCTTCCAACATCTGACAGTATATGTATTATAGGTGGCGCTTAAAGGAAATATAAGGTGCAGCAAGATTACCAAAGTAACACATATTCTTAAAAAAAAATATAGTGTAGAGATAAAAGGTAAAAGCGCACACAAAATACCAGAAGGATGTTACCTGTAATATATACAATTATGGTAACCGATAGTAGATATTCCTGGTATATACTCATAAAGGATGTACTTGATGGTATGCATTACCTATACAAAGATAGAACCAAACAACAAAAACATAGTGTAATCTGAAAATTCAGGAACCAGGGGTTGAAATGAGGTAAAATTCCATCTATGTCCACGGATGAGACATGCATGCTGTATAAGTTTTGAGCCAACTTCCACAAACAAATTGTGAGTGGTGTCAGCTCTTCAATATCCACTTTTATTATATCTTGGTTACCATAATTGTATATATTACAGGTAACATCCTTCTGGTATTTTGTGTGCGCTTTTACCTTTTATCTCTACACTACCTTCCAACATTTGACAGTCTAATTCAAATCATAAGTTAATGAGTCGTCTATGGTCATTAAATAATTGCAAAAAGAATAGATCATATGAACAACTTTAAAACATTCTTACTTATTTGAAAAAAATAGTAACATAAAAGGAAAATATGTATGAATGCAATTTGAATCATAACTATATGTTTTAGAAGGTGGTAATGGTTAGTTGTATAAGTGGTACACAATTATTATATCAGCTAATCTGTTGTTAAACACGAGAACTAGAACAATGACTTTGTGTTTAAAATACTCTTGTTATTTTGAAGATAATTTTATATTAAAGGTAGACCCTACATGAAGTTAAAAGGAAGCCTTAAGTAAATAAGTAGGATATTTATTTAACAAACTAGAAAATGTATAAAAATAAAGTAAAAATCCAAATAGAGTCCAGATCTGTCGATTTGGATTTTCACTTTATTTTTATACTATATGTGTTTTTATTTGTAACCTAATAAATTTAAAAGCTATGCCAAACCAAGTCCTTGAAGCCTTCAGGAACTTACATTGGGGTTCTATCCCCAGAAAGTGGCACCTTGCTGATTACCCTCAGGGCCAGGAATTTAAGACTGTTAAAAAGGTGAGCACAATACTTACCATAGGTGTACTACCTGCATTCTGTATAGTACCACACATTAGGTCGCTTTTCTCCCTTTTTTTGTATTTCTCTTGAAGGAACATCAGTGAGGGAGTGGTGTTTTGCTGCCCTGAGAGCATAAATGTTTACCTTATGGAGCCAATACCATGTAGGCTCCAGACTATGTGAGTGGCTCTATTTATTTACCTACCATCAATTATTATCCAAGACCATCTGTACTATAAACTTTATATTTCTTTTCTTTTCTTTTTTTTTTATATGTACCGATTGCACGTTCAAGTTTGTTGTTACACTGAATTGGTGGGGTAAGTTTAACTCTTAAACCTCTATTTTGTATAGCCCTCCACTAATTTCCTGTACAGCTAAAATTTATTGTGGAAAAAGGGTATTCCACTGTGTTTAGAGCTGCTTTCTATTCTTATTGTATCCCTCACTACCTCCTAGTAGCGGTAAATTCTGGGTTTTTTTAGAAAAAAAATTGTGCTTGAACAAATACTTCAGTGTAAAGAAACTCTTACAAATTATTACACCTTTTGGTGTGAATTAGATGTATGAAAAATGTTAAGAAATTCATAGAAACAATAAAAGCATAGTAAAAACTGCTAAATGTTTTATTGAATGTTAGTGTTTCTGCACGTAGTAAAAACATTTACGTTTTTATGTCCTAATGTGTTGTGCACAACATGGAGCTTTGACTAAATATTTTGTTATTATTTTTAAATATTTTATGATTGTTCTTAAAATAACTTATTTTTTTTATCTTAAGTGGATGCCTTAAAACATATACATATCTTTGCATTGACACTATATTTGTACAAAAATGAGTTTTAGCTGGTTCATCCGAATCAGAATCTTTTTAATCCACTCCCAAATGAATCGTCTCATCTGGGATTTACCTGTGGGGTCTTACTGAATTGATCTATCTGGGATTTACAGGTGGAGTTGTATCAAAAGAATCAATACATCTTTGATTTACCTCTGGAGTCTTATTTAATGAATAAGACTTGTTATACAAATCCTGAATGGGGGGGTGGGGCCTGACTGCCAAGCTGGATGGACGCAGATCACATCAGCTCCTCAGCATTGTATTGATAAAAGCTTCTAACCTACTCTCCGGCACCCAACTCAGGCAACAGCTGATGCTGGTTCCAGTGGGAAGCCCCCTTAGCACTGGTACCTTCAACTACCAGCTCTTGTCCTACCTGCAGATCGTGCTGGCCGGCGGGAAAATCTTGCGGCCTGATGTTTGTGCGGAAGATGCGTTTGATGTCCTGCACTTTATCCGACTGGGCCTAGTGAACCTGCATTAAAGGTCCCGTGCTCCCCGTGCCTGTGTGCTGGTGGGGGTTATCCCGATCCCCGCTTGAGCCTACCTATCGGAATTGATTCCAATATAACGCTCACGCAACGCCACACTCGTAGTCTCCCCAAGATGGCGGACTCACCTAAATCCCTCACAAGCACCACTCCGTGCCCTGAAGATGCTCTCCAGAACCTTGTGGAGCAATCTCTACAGTGGCTAGACGCACTCATCGCACAATTCTGGGTAAAACTAGAGCAGCGTGCAACCGCAGCCCCACAGCAGCCTCAAAAGGGAGTTCAGTGGAAAGTAGGTCAGGAGGTGAGTGAATCTCCTTCGGGCAGAGCCCTTACTACAGCTACTTCTTACACTCATACTAGCCCACCCGGGCCGAAGGCCACCAGGGGCATGACCCCACAGCATCGTCCGCACCGATGGAGGGCTGATCGCCGCAGGCGACGCAAGATCACCACTGCCTTTTGTATCTCCCAAAAGGAGAAGGACTCAAAGATGGCGGAGCTCAAGGATGGCGGCCTCCACAAGGGCCTGGGGCTCACATAAACCCCCTCGTGCTGTCTGAGCACTTCCCAAGCACCGGAGTACACTGAATGCTGTCTGGCTGTCTCCCACAGTTCCATAATCACTATTGAGAGTTGCCCTACTAGTTGAAGACACCGTCTCACTCATGTCGAGTTTATTTGACCAGTTTATTCTAATTTCATGCATTCTTGATTTTCTCTTACATTGTGAAACAAAGGGCCTCTTTAGAGGGACGCAGTGGGACACCCTAGCTGAGTCTACATATATGCCTCGTTGTTTGGTGCTACTAAGCAAGTCTAATGGATGTACTTACAAGTCTGGATAGCTTTAGCTAATAATATACATTCAATTTTTTTTATGAGTCTAGCCTAGTGCCTAGCTTGGTTATTATACTGTATCTATGTTTTAAACGTGCACCACTCTTGATTTCCAAACAAAAGAAAAATTGTGCAGTTTTTCCTATGTGCCTGCACTGGTAAGCTTAATGTTAACACTTGTCTTGCTTTTGCTGTTGTGGCATAGCGAGAATGCCTGTTACGCTAGTGCATGTCAAAATATCATAAACTCTGATTTCTGAGATGGATGATATGTTAAAGGGACTCTCCAAGTAACATTTTAATCTAGGCTCCTCACACAGATTTCTATGTAAGGAGTTTCCATTTTCTTGCATTTTGATTCTTATGACCAATCCACTGTTTATGGCATTAACATTCTCATGGCTTTGTATGAGAGATATGCTACTTTGTTTGTAAATAACTCATTACCTGAAAATAAATTAATTGAGCTATTAAGCAACTAGAAGCCATACCATCACTTCTATTATTTTATTTAAAAAATTTTTGCAGTGGTATTAATTATGTCTTTCCTTAAATAAAACATTTGCTGAGTGATAAATTACACATCCTATGAAGTCCTGCTTGGATTTTTAGACCCTTAAAGGGAGGACTGGGTACCTAAATAGTCAAGAGAACACTGCAGCATTAGTAATAAATGTTTGGACTCCTAACACTATAGTGTTCCTTTAGAAAAATGGTGGCTAAAGCAGTAAACCATTTGCTCATAACTTTCAGGAAAGGGGATTTTTTTCTGTTTACCTCTAAATCCACCACTGCTACTAGTCTGTTCCTAAATTAATTTTGTTACAATATAATCCATTTTACATACTATGGATTAGCCTTTAGATGCAAAAACAGTTTGGACTATGACTACTGCTAAAGTCTCAGGTCTTTAAGGCGCTATTTCTTGTAGTGGCTGGCACTGTGATCATAGAGGGAAGGGTAGGATGACACTTCTCTTCTTTTACTTTTAGCTCATTTTCTGTAGCTGAGCTCCCATCTCGATCCAGTCCCTTCAAAAATATAACACAGTAGCTACAATGTTTTAAAGTATTCCAGCTAAAGGTAGTGGTGTATTAAGAGATTCTGGAGAGTTACCTGGAGATACTGCAGTAGATACAGGGAACATAAATGAACCATGCCAAATCCCATGTGTAGAGGATTTTACTCCATTCTTTGTGGATCCTTCATAGTTCTCCCGTCCCAGTAGCTTCAGGAAACGAACTCTTCCTCCCTTTTCATTGGCCAGTTTTCCATCATGAATAGCAGACAGACAAACGGAAGAATCCTAAGGCAAACAGTACATTACATTTTTCAATTAATTTCATTTATTTAAAATTATGTAAATAAATATATACATATATATGATTATCATCTTACGTCTGTATAGATTTGATTTCCCCAAACAAAGCCATTGTCCTCATCTAGACAATTTGCAGGACATTCCACTCTAAAATTGAAGTAAGAACGGATTTAGATTTCTGTACAACACATTTTTTTAGCGTAAACTTAATTTCCTTCTTGTTATTTCGAATAAGACTTACTCTGCACTTTCAGCTTCTATCTCGTCTGCACCCGTTGAACACAAAACTTTTACTGCAGTGATAGAATAAGATATTGTATTTTAATTGGCAATTAAACTATTTTCTGCAGCAAACTTGAATGTCATAATGAGCAAATAAAATTAAAAGAAGCAATAGATGAAAAGACTAAGAGAAATGGAGCATTGTAAATAACTGTCTCTTTGTACAATGTATAGCAGCCATTTAAATTGTCCCTGAGTTGTTAGTCTCTGTTCTAAGCAAGGCACTGTCCTGGACCAGAGTTTGACAACAGACTCCCAAGGCTGACCAAGATGTCCAATCCCTGTGGCACAATGTCACAGAGATCTGATGCCAACCACCGTCAGAAAGGTTTGGTGGTAGTGGGAACACCGGTACACGTAGTGATCGCACAAGCACGAGATATGCAGTAAATGTGTTTGCAGAGTCCGTCTGCCCTTTTAATGCAATATGTTTTCTGCTAAGGAATTTCAATTAATATAAATACGCTTTTGCACTGAAACCAAATAAGCGCCAAGAACAAGAGAAGTTTAAAACAGATAAAATGTGTAATCGTCAGTCTTCTGCAAGCATTATTGTGAAACGAAAAATTCGACCTGTTAGCGAAATTAATAAAACACCAAAATGAAAACTCTAAGCTATGCACTTTTTGGATATTGATGGTTGAACATAGAAAAATAAAACGTTTTGCCTCCCAATAGAATGCCAAGGAAGCAGGATTTTAACTCATAACTGATATATCTATATTAAAAAAAATATCACCAAATGTCTTAACACATTAATGTTGCTGCTGCAACAAGATTCATTCAGCACTATATTCACCTGGTGGGAGGCTGGAAATTGGTTCTGTAGGTTCTTCGGAGATTGGTACTGTCCCAGTTGATTCTGGAGATTTATCAGGTGATGGTGATACTGATTTGGGGAACATAAATGATTCAGACCAGGTTCCATGTTTGAAAGACTTCACTCCGTTCTTGGTGGATTCCTCGTAGTTCTCAAGGCCAGGAATCTTCCGTATTTCTATTGTTCCTCCTTGATTAGTCAGTACTCCAGCATGAATTGCTGCTCGGCAAATGGAAGAATCCTAAGGCAAGTGGTACATTAAATTTTAATAATATATGAAGCCAAAAACATCTGTGGAAACACATTTAAAAATAGGTATGAAAATATCTTACTTCTGTAAAGATGTGAGTTCCCCAAACAATGTCGTTCATATCCTGACATCCCTCAGGACACACTAGTCTAAAAATGAAGTGAGAACTGATTTAGATTTCTGTTCCACACACATTTCAACGTAAACTGAATTTCCTTCCTGCAATTTCGAACAAGACTTACTCTGCACTTTTATCTTCTATCTCATCTGCACCCGTTGAACACGAAATCTCAACTGCAGTGAAAGAATAAGATATCACATATTCTTTAGTAAATAAAACATCTACTGCAGCAAATAGTGTAATAATTAATAACAGGAAATCAATGTGAAGGCTTAAAAAAACAACCCAATATGGCATTATGAATCAATATATTACAATATGAGTATTATCTCAGAGAGAAAGCTTGTATTATGCTTTAACTTGTCTACCTAAAGCATTACCTAGAGCAGCAAAGTATTCTTACATGGTTATTTTCTAATGTGAAAACTGTCAGGAATTCAACATGGATTAAAAGTGATTTTAAAATCTAAGGGCAAAGCAGACAAACAGCTAATTCTCCAAGTCCTGTTTGGCTACTTTGATCTAAAATTTAGTTGCAAAGAATAATGCACAAAATAATTAAACATAGAAAAATAAAACGTTTTGCCTCCCAATAGAATGCCAAGGAAGCAGGATTTTAACTCATAACTGATATATCTATATTAAAAAAATATCACCAAATGTCTTAACACATTAATGTTGCTGCTGCAAGCATTATTGTGAAACGAAAAATTCGACCTGTTAGCGAAATTAATAAAACACCAAAATGAAAAATCTAAGCTATGCACTTTTTGGATATTGATGGTTAAACATAGAAAAATAAAACGTTTTGCCTCCCACTAGAATGCCAAGGAAGTAGGATTTTAACCCATAACTGATATATATATATATATATATTAAAAAAAATATCACCAAATGTCTTAACACATTAATGTTGCTGCTGCAACAAGATTCATTCAGCACTATATTCACCTGGTGGGAGGCTGGAAATTGGTTCTGTAGGTTCTTCGGAGATTGGTACTGTCCCAGTTGATTCTGGAGATTTATCAGGTGATGGTGACACTGATTTGGGGAACATAAATGATTCAGACCAGGTTCCATGTTTGAAAGACTTCACTCCGTTCTTGGTGGATTCCTCGTAGTTCTCAAGGCCAGGAATCTTCCGTATTTCTATTGTTCCTCCTTGATTAGTCAGTACTCCAGCATGAATTGCTGCTCGGCAAATGGAAGAATCCTAAGGCAAGTGGTACATTAAATTTTAATAATATATGAAGCCAAAAACATCTGTGGAAACACATTTAAAAATAGGTATGAAAATATCTTACTTCTGTAAAGATGTGAGTTCCCCAAACAATGTCGTTCATATCCCGACATCCCTCAGGACACACTAGTCTAAAAATGAAGTGAGAACTGATTTAGATTTCTGTTCCACACATATTTCAACGTAAACTGAATTTCCTTCCTGCAATTTCGAACAAGACTTACTCTGCACTTTTATCTTCTATCTCATCTGCACCCGTTGAACACGAAATCTCAACTGCAGCGAAAGAATAAGATATCACATATTCTTTAGTAAATAAAACATCTACTGCAGCAAATAGTGTAATAATTAATAACAGGAAATCAATGTGAAGGCTTAAAAAAACAACCCAATATGGCATTATGAATGACAATATATTACAATATGAGTATTATCTCAGAGAGAAAGCTTGTATTATGCTTTAACTTGTCTACCTACAGCATTACCAAGAGCAGCAAAGTATTCTTACATGGTTATTTTCTAATGTGAAAACTGTCAGGAATTCAACGTGAATTTAAAGTGATTTTAAAATCTAAGGGCAAAGCAGACAAACAGCTAATTCTCCAAGTCCTGTTTGGCTACTTTGATCTAAAATTTAGTTGCAAAGAATAATGCACAAAATAATTTAACATGGAAGATTAGTGCAATTAAACACATATGAGCATTGTCTATGTCCAGTTAGCCAACAATCAATCCTTTCTTTTTCTTTGTTGCTCTTGTGAAGTTAAGTATGGTATTGCATTACAAACATTTTATTATTTTCGTGCATATTTTCAGTATAGATCAAATGTAGTTTTACGCTAGGATGTGTATTGTTTAGGTGTACACAGTACTATTTCTAATAACTTTATTTTATATAAGTTATTTAAATGGTTATTCCAAATATCATTACTATTAAAGCTTGCTTTAGTGGCTATAATGTCAGGAGTACCCTGGTGTTCCCATGTATTGGAGCAAACCAATTTGCCATGGCTTGCCCTTTTACTTGTGTCCCTTTGGGTGCCAACACACCTCTAATGCTGGTCAACGTGCATCTGTTTTCTATCTATTGTCAGTTCTTTATTGACTGACAGCATCAGCTTTTGTTCCAGGTTGGTTGAAGGCACTTCCACAGATCGAGTTACACCTCCAGCAGCAGCAAAAAGTATTTGTATGGTAGGCAATATTCGTATAAATAAAACGAGGTACACAATAACTACAGACAATGTTTAATTACTTTTCAATGGGCTTGGCCGTGGTGTTTATTCAAAGTTCAAGGGGCATAAAACCATAACTTTGTAACCATAACCATATAACATAGGGTTCACCAACTTTCAAAACTTTTCAACTTTATTAACCACCATATTGCCAGTCAGTCATAACTAACCTGACCGCCTTTTATATAAAACCATTTACCACCATATCCTTCCTCAGAACTTGATCCTAAGGATAACTTTATCCCCAATGCTCATAACACCAAGACAAAACAATTCAATAAAAGTAAAGGGACGGGTGTTGGGGTCCATCCGCACCGTTCCTGCTTCAGTCCACTCTGACAGGATTAAACTTGTGCTGCTTCTTTTTATACTGTTCCAGTTTCCCGCTCTTTTTCTGCTTGCAACTTTCAACCAATCCCATGCCAGCTCCAGCCCCCTGCAACAGCTGTGTTATTAAATCTGCCCAGATACCTGTCTAACTGACCATCTACCATCATATGTAAAATGCTCACATTCAAATCCCAGACAAACCAGATTAACTCCTTCATTGCCACCATACATATATACCACAGTGCTTAGTGCCTGTGGCTTCTTTTTCAGGAAAAGCAGTGTTTCTTAAAGATTCCAAGCACCATGACCACTGCAATACACTGATGTGGTTTGGAGTAACTCTTTAACATGCATTATGGTAGACTATTTTGTTTTCCATTATCCTAATTTTAGGATTATTTTGGTATTATCTCATTTATTTTTCTGTTTTATAATGTATATCTATGCTTTGTAAAAGTGATTTGTTTGTTTACCCTACATACTTAGAATTTTTTTATCTCCTTTACTGTCATAATGACATTTGTTCCCTTGTTAATGTTGCCTTCTTACGCTGTTACACAATGGTTAAATTTCAACGTGATTCCAGCCATATACATCATACATGCCTCTTATCTCTTATGTATATGTTGCACTTTAGTTAAGAGGCTGGGGGCATTTGCTATATTATTATTTTAACCCCTTAAGGACACATGACATGTCTGACATGTCATGATTCCCTTTTATTCCAGAAGTTTGGTCGTTAAGGGGTTAAAATAGGATTGGGCCCTTATGTGTAGCTTTTGCCTTACTACAGATGTACTTGTATGCTATTAAATATTCCTGATTTTTGTATTTCGCCTGACCTGCAAAAATAATGATAATAAAAAAGCCTCTGACTCAATTGTACAGGCTATTACAGAACCATATTCATATGGATGAATTATAACAATGAGACAATGACTGACCTGTTTCTCACAATCCAAAATAGAGGCTAAAATGGAGAGATGCAATATACAACCAATCCCTTTTGAGCAGCGAATAAATTGGAAGCAGAATTAAGCATTTTCCCAAAAGAGTGGGGAGGGACACAAAGGCATACAAACTTAAATGAGAGGCCAGTCAAACTAAACAGACTTACGCAAGACTTCTGTAGCAAAGGATCGAAAAGTAAAATCCAATGAACTGTTGCATTTAAAACACAGTTATTAATATGTTGCTGATTTAGGCCAAAGCATACCATCACAAAGGAGAGAAGTAAAAAAATGAATTGTAAGAGAATCCACAAAAGAAATGCAATATAGCAAACTTCACACGTTATGAGACAGATTTCCCTTGTTTTGTGTGAGAGGGGGTGACATATATTTAGTGTTCACTTTCAATGGGTGGCATACTAGATCTTCACCCTTTCCACTAGGATTCCAATGGGCATGAACAAGAAATGAGATGCAGGTTATTTTTTTGAATAGGAGGTTAGCAATTGGATATCCTTTTATATTTGGGGCTATAGTTTTATTTTTGCCCCTGCAGAGCTTCTTGATATATATTCTTTTTATATGGTTTCTGGGATGGAGTTGACTTATATTGACATAAACATGTTTACAAATTTACGTTTAGCTATTTATTGTTCATATTTTTCTGCATGGTTTGATGGCTGATTGCTGAATGGGTTTTAATAAGCCAGATTCGTTCAGCACCTCAGCAAGAGATAATTCTGCAGATCAACATTTTGTCTTTTATAAATATGCTCATGATTCTGATGATTTAGAAGGTAATAAGTTAGATAAGTTTGACTCTGAGAAGGAAACAATTTACATTTATGAAACCGCTTAGTTTGTCATGATAGACAAAAGGACTGATCAATCTTGTCGGTTGTATCTCCTGTCCAATCAAGAGGTTAAAAAACGGGACCCTGCTCGTATTCTCTAAAGCCCTGGGATAGAGCACTGCTTTTTTCCCACAATGAAGGATAGTCACTCCTGCTCTTCTGAGGATGGAAGGGGTTAGTGCAGGCATAGGCAACCTTCGTTACGACAGATGTTTTGCACTAGACCTGCCATGATGTTTTGCCAGCATTATGTGTGTAAGAGCATTATGGGGGATGTAGTCCATAACATCTGGAGTGCCAAAGATTGCCTACCCCTGGGTTAGTGGGTCATCAGTTACTTTTTTTTCTACATAAAATTACTTCTCCTCCCATTGTATCAATGATACAATATAGCACAAAGAAAATAATCATAATCAAGTTATCACACTTGCTTTTTTTTTTTTTTTTATTCAGATATAATAATCAGATTTTCCCAATTTAGAATTGACATTGCAAAATAAATGCCTAATATTGCTTAGCCATCAGGATAGGCAATATTGTAGTAGTTTTTCAATGCAGAAGAGTAATACGCATTGTTTCATTGGCTTGCCTGAAATTTTCATGATTTTTTTTTTTTTTTTAGTGAACGAAATTCTGTCAAATTGAACTACAACATGGCTGAAACTCTGCTGTCCTGAATTTTTTTCGCCATGCACATGTCTACTGTCAGGAAAATGGATTCCTTTGCCTCAAATGTTAAAACAGCTGTTGAGGAAGCTACAATGAATCAATAATCCCTCTAAAGAATATAAACATAATGGGAGTATCAATAACGTGAAGGCTTTGTCCATATTTTGCCTCCAACTGAAGTTCCATGGAAGAGAGAAGATTTCCTGAATGAAAATTTAAAGTTTTCACTTTTGGAAAACACTCAAAATAACAAAATGTCCTCCTCAAAGTTTTGTTACTAGTGCGTTTCTGCATAGGTATTAGAAAAAAAAAATTGATAAATAAATTCACCTAGTAGGAGACTGGGAATTGACACTGTAGGCTTACCTGGTACTGTTCCAGGTGATTCTGGAGATTTACCAGATGATAGGGGCTTTGACTTGGGGAACATAAAGGATCTAGACCAGGATCCATGTTTAAAGGTTTTCACTCCATTCTTTGTGGATTCCTCATAGTTCTCAAGGCCAGGAACCTTTAGTATTTCTACTCTTCCTCCTTCATCATTCAGTAGTCCTGCATGAATAGCAGCTCTGCACACGGAAGAATCCTAAGGCAAATTGTAGATTTATGGTTATAATAGATTAAAGGAAAAGGCCAGGCATCTTCACAGTTTCTACTGCAGCCTTCTGGGCTGTGCTAGAGAGCTGTACATAAGGGCTCAAATCTTCATGTTCCGACAGGCTACCCAAGTTACAGTGAGGGCATACAGGCGTAGTGCAAGTGTAAATATATGAATGGTAGGTGTATGTGGGTACTCCAATGTGGTATGAGAGAGTTATCCCCAGATGTATGTGGAGCCAATGAGTGAGTGATTGAGCATCCTAAGTAAAAGAAATAGCCACCTAATGGATGTATTGATAGTGTCAGGGTGATGGTGGGTGCCAAAAGAGAGGTGATTGGGTCTGACACATGAGGAGTCCCCTATAACTGAGTTCTAGACTGTTTAGCTGTTATACCATAAGTTTTTTTTTTTTTTTTTATGTAACACTGAAATATATGAATCTGTTTATTTTCAAAATGTGATGGTACCTAACCATAGCGGAATATTCCACATTATTAATAAACAATTTTAAAAAAAATGAAAGTAAAACAATGTGGGTAACACTTTTAGCTTAGGAATATGTACTGAGATGCCCACTTACTTCTGTATAAATGTCATCTCCCCAAACCATGTCGTTTTCCTTCAGACATTCCGCAGCACATAACACTCTAAAAACAAAGTAAGAGTTGGTTTAGTTTTCTGTTTCATGCAAATTTTAGTGTAAACTTCATTTTTTTTTATTGTTTACAGTGAAGTAAAACTTACATTGCCCTTTCTTCATCTATTTCATCTGCACCCAGTGAACATGGAGCCTCAACTGCGGTGATAGAACACGATATCACATATTGATTGGTAATTAAAATATTAACAACCACTAACCTCAGTTAAATAATTAGGATAGTAAAAGAAAAAATAGATGATGAGGCTTACAAATGGGACAATGTGAAATTATCAACGATTACATAAATATCAACACATATTATGCTTGGGAAGTAATTAATCTAGAAATGTATTTTCTTGGAATTGTATTGGAACAGATGAAACACCAGGGGTTAATAAAGTTTCAAAACTAAATGCAAAAAAAGGTGACATTTAGAATTTTTAACTGCATGCAAGCTCCACTTGTCATTGAATTTATAGAACATGTCAATACAATATGTAAAACTATACATTTTTATTTTGGATATTGATAGCAGAAACAAATATGCTGATTGCAAAATTGTGAGTTTTTACCTATCATTAACTACTAAAGATACTAAAGATACATTAATAATGATACAAAAAACAATGTATCTTTTTTTTTTTTACAGTAACAGTATTACTGTTTTTTGTGTGCATAGTCTTTAAAGGAGAAAAAAAACATATTATTTATAAATAAATTCACCTTGTGGAAGGCTCGAAGTGGGTTCTGTAGGTTTTCCTGTGACTGTTCCAGGTGATTCTGAAGATTTAGTAGATGATGGAGGATTTGACTTGGGGAACATAAAGGATCTAGACCAGGATCCATGTTTAAAGGTTTTCACTCCATTCTTTGTGGATTCCTCATAGTTCTCAAGGCCAGGAACCTTTAGTATTTCTACTCTTCCTCCTTCATCATTCAGTAGTCCTGCATGAATAGCAGCTCTGCACACGGAAGAATCCTAAGGCAAATTGTAGATTGATGGTTAAAATAGATTAAAAGAAAAGGCCAGGCATCTTCACAGTTTCTACTGCTCCTCTGTTATCTGTAATTATTCCACCAAGTATTCCACCATGAATAGCTGCTCTGCAAATGGAAGAATTCTAAGGGAAATCATATGTTTACAGTTAAAATAGATTATAGGCCCCTTCCGGGCTGTGCTAGAGAGCTGTACATAAGGGCTCAAATCTTCATGTTCCGACAGGGTACCCAAGTTACAGTGTGGGCATACAGGCATTGTGCAAGTGTAAATATATGAATGGTCAGTATATGTGGGTACCACAAAGTGGTATGAGAGAGTTATCGCCAGATGTATGTGGAGCCAATGAGCGAGTGATTGAGCATCCTAGGTAAAGGAAATAGCCACCTAATGCATGTACTGAAAGCGTCAGGGTGATGGTGGGTGCCAAAAGAGAGGTGATTGGATCTGACACATGGGGAGTCCCCTATAACTGAATTCTAGACTGTTTAGCTGTTATACCATAAGTTTTTTTTGTTGTTTTTTTTTTTGTTTATTTTCAAAATGTGATGGTACCTAACCATACCGGAATATTACACATTATTAATAAACAATTTAAAAAAATGAAAGGAAAACAATGTGGGTAACACTTTTAGCTTAGGAATATGTACTGAGATGCCCTCTTACTTCTGTATAAATGTCATCTCCCCAAACCATGTCGTTTTCCTTCAGACATTCCGCAGCACATAACACTCTAAAAACAAAGTAAGAGTTGGTTTAGTTTTCTGTTTCATGCAAATTTTAGTGTAAACTTCATTTTCTTATTGTTTACAGTGAAGTAAAACTTACATTGCCTTTTCTTCATCTATTTCATCTGCACCCAGTGAACATGGAGCCTCAACTGCGGTGATAGAACACGATATCACATATTGATTGGTAATTAAAATATCAACAACCACTAACCTCAGTTAAATAATTAGGATAGTAAAAGAAGAAATAGATGATGAGGCTTACAAATGGCACAATGTGAAATTATCAACGATTACATAAATATCAACACATATTATGCTTGGGAAGTAATTAATCTAGAATTGTATTTTCTTGGAATTGTATTGGAACAGATGAAACACCAGGGGTTAATAAAGTTTCAAAACTAAATGCAAAAAAAGGTGACATTTAGAATTTTTAACTGCATGCAAGCTCCACCTGTCATTGAATTTATAGAACATGTCAATACAATATGTAAAACTATACATTTTTATTTTGGATATTGATAGCAGAAACAAATATGCTGATTGCAAAATTGGGAATTTTTACCTATCATAAACTACTAAAGATACTAAAGATACATTAATAATGATACAAAAAACAATGTATCTTTTTTTTTTTACAGTAACAGTATTACTGTTTTTTGTGCATAGTCTTTAAAGGAGAAAGAAAACATATTATTTATAAATAAATTCACCTTGTGGAAGGCTCGAAGTGGGTTCTGTAGGTTTTCCTGTGACTGTTCCAGGTGATTCTGAAGATTTAGTAGATGATGGAGGCTTTGACTTGGGGAACATAAAGGATCTAGACCAGGATCCATGTTTAAAGGTTTTCACTCCATTCTTTGTGGATTCCTCATAGTTCTCAAGGCCAGGAACCTTTAGTATTTCTACTCTTCCTCCTTCATCATTCAGTAGTCCTGCATGAATAGCAGCTCTGCACACGGAAGAATCCTAAGGCAAATTGTAGATTGATGGTTAAAATAGATTAAAGGAAAAGGCCAGGCATCTTCACAGTTTCTACTGCTCCTCTGTTATCTGTAATTATTCCACCAAGTATTCCACCATGAATAGCTGCTCTGCAAATGGAAGAATTCTAAGGGAAATCATATGTTTACAGTTAAAATAGATTATAGGCCCCTTCCGGGCTGTGCTAGAGAGCTGTACAGAACGGGCTCAAATCTTCATGTTCCGACAGGGTACCCAAGTTACAGTGAGGGCATACAGGCATTGTGCAAGTGTAAATATATGAATGGTCAGTATATGTGGGTACCACAAAGTGGTATGAGAGAGTTATCGCCAGATGTATGTGGAGCCAATGAGCGAGTGATTGAGCATCCTAGGTAAAGGAAATAGCCACCTAATGCATGTACTGAAAGCGTCAGGTTGATGGTGGATGCCAAAAGAGAGGTGATTGGATCTGACACATGGGGAGTCCCCTATAACTGAATTCTAGACTGTTTAGCTGTTATACCATAAGTTTTTTTTGTTGTTTTTTTTTTTTTGTTTTTTTTCAAAATGTGATGGTACCTAACCATACTGGAATATTACACATTATTAATAAACAATTTTAAAAAATGAAAGGAAAACAATGTGGGTAACACTTTTAGCTTAGGAATATGTACTGAGATGCCCACTTACTTCTGTATAGATGTCATCTCCCCAAACCATGTCGTTTTCCTTCAGACATTCCGCAGCACATAACACTCTAAAAACAAAGTAAGAGTTGGTTTAGTTTTCTGTTTCATGCAAATTTTAGTGTAAACTTCATTTTCTTATTGTTTACAGTGAAGTAAAACTTACATTGCCCTTTCTTCATCTATTTCATCTGCACCCAGTGAACATGGAGCCTCAACTGCGGTGATAGAACACGATATCACATATTGATTGGTAATTAAAATATCAACAACCACTAACCTCAGTTAAATAATTAGGATAGTAAAAGAAGAAATAGATGATGAGGCTTACAAATGGCACAATGTGAAATTATCAACGATTACATAAATATCAACACATATTATGCTTGGGAAGTAATTAATCTAGAATTGTATTTTCTTGGAATTGTATTGGAACAGATGAAACACCAGGGGTTAATAAAGTTTCAAAACTAAATGCAAAAAAAGGTGACATTTAGAATTTTTAACTGCATGCAAGCTCCACCTGTCATTGAATTTATAGAGCATGTCAATACAATATGTAAAACTATACATTTTTATTTTGGATATTGATAGCAGAAACAAATATGCTGATTGCAAAATTTGAAATTTGTACCCATAATAAACTACTAAAGATACTAAAGATACATTGTTTTTAGTATCATTAGTAATGTATCTTTTTTTTTTTTTTTTTTACAGTAACAGTATTACTGTTTTTCTTGTACATAGTCTTTAAAGAAGAAAAATACCATATTATTTATAAATTCACCTTGTGGAAGGCTTGAAGTGGGTTCTGTAGGTTTTCCTGTTCCAGGTAAAACTGAAGATTGACCAGATGATGGAGGCTTTGACTTGGGGAACATAAAGGATCCAGACCAGGTTCCGTATTTTAAGGATTTTACTCCATTCCTGGTGCATCCTTCATAGTTCTCAAGGCCAGGCATCTTCCGTATTTCTACTATTCCTCCTTCCTCTTTCAATGCTCCAGCATGAATAGCAGATTTACAGATGGGAGAATCCTAATGGAAATGGTGGATTTATTGTTAATATTATATTAATAACACATGGATAACACAGTTAATTTAGGAATATGTATTGAGATGCAATCTTACATCGGTATAGATGTTATCTCCCCAAACATTGCCTTCCTCATTCTGACATCCTGCATCACAAAGCACTCTAAAAATTAAGTGAGAACTGTTACAGATGTCTGTTCCATACATCTTTTTACATAAATGTAACTTTCTTCCTGCTACTTAACAGTTATTTCACAGTGATATAAAACTTACATTGCCCATTCTTCTGCTATCTGGTCTGCACGCGTTGAACATGAAGCCTTAACTGCAATGACAGAATAAGATGTCACATACTCATTGGTAAATAACATACCGACTGTAGCAAATGTCAATGTAATATTTGGGAAATTAAAACAGGAAAACAATGATAAGGCTTAAAAAATGCATCCTATGGCATTATCAATGACTATATAGATTGCTACTTAATCTATACTTGGGAACTGTAATTAATCTTAAAATGTATTTGCTTTGTAATATATTGGAACATGGATTGTTGAAATTTCCCTGCCAAGTGTAAACATAGGTAAGATTTATCTGCTTGCAAATATTATTAACAAATTACCAGATCTACACATCAGTCAGTTAACAGAGCACAATTTGAAATATTAATGACAAAGCATGGAGAAATTGCCATGTTTTGCCTTCCATTGCATTTCATCAGAAGAAAGAAGTGGGTTTCCTTATTGCAAAGAAATCGAGTTTTTACCTATTACAAACAAATGAATAAATAAATTCACCTGGTGGAAGGCTCAAAATGGGTTCTGTAGGTTTTCCTGGTACTGGTTCGGGTGATTCTGGAGATTTACCAGGTGATGGAGGCTTTGACTTGGGGAATATAAAGGATCCAGACCAGGTTCCATATTTTAAGGATTTTATTCCATTCTTTGTGGATTCCTCGTAGTTCTCAAGGCCACGCATCTTCACTATTTTTGTTTTTCCTCCCTTATCAGTCAATACACCAGCATGAATAGCAGCTAGGCATATGGCAGAATCCTAAGGGAAATAGTACATTAAGTTATAGAAATACATTAATGCAAAACAATTTGGGTAACAACTTTAGTTTATGAATATGTATTGAGATAAAAATCTTACGTCTGTATAGCTGTAAGTTCCCCAAACTTTTCCATCCTCATCCTGGCATCCCTCAGGACATATTATCCTAAAAATGAAGTGAGAACTGATATGGATGTCTGTGCCATGCTTGATTTAACTTAAACTTAACTTTCTTCCTGCTAATTAAGTTATTTCACAGTGATATAACACTTACGTCGCCCATTCTTCTGCTATCTCGGCTGCACTCATTGAACATGAAGCCTTAACTGCAATAACAGAATAAGATATCACATACTCATTGGTAAATAACATACCTACTGTAGCAAATGTCAATGTAATATTTGGGAAATTAAAACAGGAAAACAATGATAAGGCTTAAAAAATGCATCATATGGCTTAACAATGACTATATAGATTGCAACTTAATCTATACTTGGGAACTGTAATTAATCTTAAAATGTATTTGCTTTGTAATATATTGGAACATGGATTGTTGAAATTTCCCTGCCAAGTGTAAACATAGGTAAGATTTATCTGCTTGCAAATATTATTAACAAATTACCAGATCTACACATCAGTCAGTTAACAGAGCACAATTTGAAATATTAATGACAATGCATTGAGAAATTGCCATGTTTTGCCTTCAATTGCATTTCATCAGAAGAAAGAAGTGGGTTTCCTTATTGCAAAGAAATTGAGTTTTTACCTATTACAAACAAATGAATAAATAAATTCACCTGGTGGAAGGCTCGAAATGGGTTCTGTAGGTTTTCCTGGTACTGGTTCGGGTGATTCTGGAGATTTACCAGGTGATGGAGGCTTTGACTTGGGGAATATAAAGGATCCAGACCAGGTTCCATATTTTAAGGATTTTATTCCATTCTTTGTGGATTCCTCGTAGTTTTCAAGGCCACGCATCTTCACTATTTTTGTTTTTCCTCCCTTATCAGTCAATACACCAGCATGAATAGCAGCTAGGCATATGGCAGAATCCTAGGGGAAATTGGACATTAAGTTATAGAAATACATTAATGCAAAACAATTTGGGTAACAACTTTAGTTTATGAATATGTATTGAGATAAAAATCTTACGTCTGTATAGTTGTAAGTTCCCCAAACTTTTCCATCCTCATCCTGGCATCCCTCAGGACATATTATCCTAAAAATGAAGTGAGAACTTTTACAGATGTCTGTGTCATGCTTGATTTAACTTAAACTTAACGTTCTTCCTGCTACTTAACAGTTATTTCACAGTGATATAAAACTTACGTTGCCGATTCTTCTGCTATCTGGGCTGCACTCATTGAACATGAAGCCTTAACTGCAATAACAGAATAAGATGTCACATACTCATTGTAAATAACATACCTACTGTAGCAAATGTCAATGTAATATTTGGGAAATTAAAACAGGAAAACAATGATAAGGCTTAAAAAATAGTCCTATGGCTTATCAATGACTATATAGATTGCTACTTAATCTATACTCGGGAACTGTAATTAATCGTACAATGCTATTGCTTTGTAATATATTTTAAAATGGATTGTTGAAATTTCCCTGCCAAGTGTAAATATAGGTAAGATTTATCTGCTTGCAAATATTATTAACAAATTACAAGATCTACCCATCAGTGAGTTAACAGAGCAGAATTTAGAATATTAATAACAAAGCATGGAGAAATTGCCATGTTTTGCCTTCCATTGCATTTCAGCAGGAGAAAGAAGTTGGTTTCCTGATTGCAAAAAAAAAAAAAAAAAGGAGTTTTTCCCTATTACAAGCAAACATCTAAAAAATGAATATACATTTTTTCACAGTAATGTTATTACTGCACTTATATTGCATAACCTTTTGAGGAGAAAAATACCAATTTGTATTTGTAAATAAATTCACCTGGTGGAAGGCTCAAAATGGGTTCTGTAGGTTTTCCTGGTACTGGTTCGGGTGATTCTGGAGATTTACCAGGTGATGGAGGCTTTGACTTGGGGAATATAAAGGATCCAGACCAGGTTCCATATTTTAAGGATTTTATTCCATTCTTTGTGGATTCCTCGTAGTTTTCAAGGCCACGCATCTTCACTATTTTTGTTTTTCCTCCCTTATCAGTCAATACACCAGCATGAATAGCAGCTAGGCATATGGCAGAATCCTAGGGGAAATTGGACATTAAGTTATAGAAATACATTAAAGCAAAACAATTTGGGTAACAACTTTAGTTTATGAATATGTATTGAGATAAAAATCTTACGTCTGTATAGCTGTAAGTTCCCCAAACTTTGCCATCCTCATCCTGGCATCCCTCAGGACATATTATCCTAAAAATGAAGTGAGAACTTTTACAGATGTCTGTGTCATGCTTGATTTAACTTAAACTTAACGTTCTTCCTGCTACTTAACAGTTATTTCACAGTGATATAAAACTTACGTTGCCGATTCTTCTGCTATCTGGGCTGCACTCATTGAACATGAAGCCTTAACTGCAATAACAGAATAAGATGTCACATACTCATTGGTAAATAACATACCTACTGTAGCAAATGTCAATGTAATATTTGGGAAATTAAAACAGGAAAACAATGATAAGGCTTAAAAAATAGTCCTATGGCTTATTAATGACTATATAAATTGCAACTTAATCTATACTCGGGAACTGTAATTAATCGTACAATGCTATTGCTTTGTAATATATTTTAAAATGGATTGTTGAAATTTCCCTGCCAAGTGTAAATATAGGTAAGATTTATCTGCTTGCAAATATTATTAACAAATTACCAGATCTACACATCAGTCAGTTAACAGAGCACAATTTGAAATATTAATGACAATGCATTGAGAAATTGCCATGTTTTGCCTTCAATTGCATTTCATCAGAAGAAAGAAGTGGGTTTCCTTATTGCAAAGAAATCGAGTTTTTACCTATTACAAACAAATGAATAAATAAATTCACCTGGTGGAAGGCTCGAAATGGGTTCTGTAGGTTTTCCTGGTACTGGTTCAGGTGATTCTGGAGATTTACCAGATGATGGAGGCTTTGACTTGGGGAATATAAAGGATCCAGACCAGGTTCCATATTTTAAGGATTTTATTCCATTCTTTGTGGATTCCTCGTAGTTTTCAAGGCCACGCATCTTCACTATTTTTGTTTTTCCTCCCTTATCAGTCAATACACCAGCATGAATAGCAGCTAGGCATATGGCAGAATCCTAGGGGAAATTGGACATTAAGTTATAGAAATACATTAATGCAAAACAATTTGGGTAACAACTTTAGTTTATGAATATGTATTGAGATAAAAATCTTACGTCTGTATAGTTGTAAGTTCCCCAAACTTTTCCATCCTCATCCTGGCATCCCTCAGGACATATTATCCTAAAAATGAAGTGAGAACTTTTACAGATGTCTGTGTCATGCTTGATTTAACTTAAACTTAACGTTCTTCCTGCTACTTAACAGTTATTTCACAGTGATATAAAACTTACGTTGCCGATTCTTCTGCTATCTGGGCTGCACTCATTGAACATGAAGCCTTAACTGCAATAACAGAATAAGATGTCACATACTCATTGTAAATAACATACCTACTGTAGCAAATGTCAATGTAATATTTGGGAAATTAAAACAGGAAAACAATGATAAGGCTTAAAAAATAGTCCTATGGCTTATCAATGACTATATAGATTGCTACTTAATCTATACTCGGGAACTGTAATTAATCGTACAATGCTATTGCTTTGTAATATATTTTAAAATGGATTGTTGAAATTTCCCTGCCAAGTGTAAATATAGGTAAGATTTATCTGCTTGCAAATATTATTAACAAATTGCAAGATCTACCCATCAGTGAGTTAACAGAGCAGAATTTAGAATATTAATAACAAAGCATGGAGAAATTGCCATGTTTTGCCTTCCATTGCATTTCAGCAGGAGAAAGAAGTTGGTTTCCTGATTGCAAAAAAAAAAAAAAAAAGGAGTTTTTCCCTATTACAAGCAAACATCTAAAAAATGAATATACATTTTTTCACAGTAATGTTATTACTGCACTTATATTGCATAACCTTTTGAGGAGAAAAATACCAATTTGTATTTGTAAATAAATTCACCTGGTGGAAGGCTCGAAATGGGTTCTGTAGGTTTTCCTGGTACTGGTTCGGGTGATTCTGGAGATTTACCAGGTGATGGAGGCTTTGACTTGGGGAATATAAAGGATCCAGACCAGGTTCCATATTTTAAGGATTTTATTCCATTCTTTGTGGATTCCTCGTAGTTTTCAAGGCCACGCATCTTCACTATTTTTGTTTTTCCTCCCTTATCAGTCAATACACCAGCATGAATAGCAGCTAGGCATATGGCAGAATCCTAGGGGAAATTGGACATTAAGTTATAGAAATACATTAAAGCAAAACAATTTGGGTAACAACTTTAGTTTACGAATATGTATTGAGTTAAAAATCTTACGTCTGTATAGCTGTAAGTTCCCCAAACTTTGCCATCCTCATCCTGGCATCCCTCAGGACATATTATCCTAAAAATTAAGTGAGAACTTTTACAGATGTCTGTGTCATGCTTGATTTAACTTAAACTTAACGTTCTTCCTGCTACTTAACAGTTATTTCACAGTGATATAAAACTTACGTTGCCGATTCTTCTGCTATCTGGGCTGCACTCATTGAACATGAAGCCTTAACTGCAATGACAGAATAAGATGTCACATACTCATTGGTAAATAACATACCGACTGTAGCAAATGTCAATGTAATATTTGGGAAATTAAAACAGGAAAACAATGATAAGGCTTAAAAAATAGTCATATGGCTTATTAATGACTATATAAATTGCAACTTAATCTATACTCGGGAACTGTAATTAATCGTACAATGCATTTGCTTTGTAATATATTGGAACATGGATTGTTGAAATTCCCCTGCCAAGTGTAAACATAGGTAAGATTTATCTGCTTGCAAATATTATTAACAAATTACCAGATCTACACATCAGTCAGTTAACAGAGCACAATTTGAAATATTAATGACAATGCATGGAGAAATTGCCATGTTTTGCCTTCAATTGCATTTCATCAGAAGAAAGAAGTGGGTTTCCTTATTGCAAAGAAATCGAGTTTTTACCTATTACAAACAAATGAATAAATAAATTCACCTGGTGGAAGGCTCGAAATGGGTTCTGTAGGTTTTCCTGGTACTGGTTCAGGTGATTCTGGAGATTTACCAGATGATGGAGGCTTTGACTTGGGGAATATAAAGGATCCAGACCAGGTTCCATATTTTAAGGATTTTATTCCATTCTTTGTGGATTCCTCGTAGTTTTCAAGGCCACGCATCTTCACTATTTTTGTTTTTCCTCCCTTATCAGTCAATACACCAGCATGAATAGCAGCTAGGCATATGGCAGAATCCTAAGGGAAATAGTACATTAAGTTATATAAATACATTAAAGCAAAACAATTTGGGTAACAACTTTAGTTTATGAATATGTATTGAGATAAAAATCTTACGTCTGTATAGCTGTAAGTTCCCCAAACTTTGCCATCCTCATCCTGACATCCCTCAGGACATATTATCCTAAAAATGAAGTGAGAACTTTTACAGATGTCTGTGTCATGCTTGATTTAACTTAAACTTAACGTTCTTCCTGCTACTTAACAGTTATTTCACAGTGATATAAAACTTACGTTGCCGATTCTTCTGCTATCTGGGCTGCACTCATTGAACATGAAGCCTTAACTGCAATAACAGAATAAGATGTCACATACTCATTGTAAATAACATACCTACTGTAGCAAATGTCAATGTAATATTTGGGAAATTAAAACAGGAAAACAATGATAAGGCTTAAAAAATAGTCCTATGGCTTATCAATGACTATATAAATTGCAACTTAATCTATACTCGGGAACTGTAATTAATCGTACAATGCATTTGCTTTGTAATATATTTTAAAATGGATTGTTGAAATTTCCCTGCCAAGTGTAAACATAGGTAAGATTTATCTGCTTGCAAATATTATTAACAAATTACAAGATCTACCCATCAGTGAGTTAACAGAGCAGAATTTAGAATATTAATAACAAAGCATGGAGAAATTGCCATGTTTTGCCTTCCATTGCATTTCAGCAGGAGAAAGAAGTTGGTTTCCTGATTGCAAAAAAAAAAAAGGAGTTTTTCCCTATTACAAGCAAACATCTAAAAAGTGAATATACATTTTTTCACAGTAATGTTATTACTGCACTTATATTGCATAACCTTTTGAGGAGAAAAATACCAATTTGTATTTGTAAATAAATTCACCTGGTGGAAGGCTCGAAATGGGTTCTGTAGGTTTTCCTGGTACTGGTTCGGGTGATTCTGGAGATTTACCAGGTGATGGAGGCTTTGACTTGGGGAATATAAAGGATCCAGACCAGGTTCCATATTTTAAGGATTTTATTCCATTCTTTGTGGATTCCTCGTAGTTTTCAAGGCCACGCATCTTCACTATTTTTGTTTTTCCTCCCTTATCAGTCAATACACCAGCATGAATAGCAGCTAGGCATATGGCAGAATCCTAGGGGAAATTGGACATTAAGTTATAGAAATACATTAAAGCAAAACACTTTAGGTAAGAACTTTAGTTTACGAATATGTATTGAGTTAAAAATCTTACGTCTGTATAGCTGTAAGTTCCCCAAACTTTGCCATCCTCATCCTGGCATCCCTCAGGACATATTATCCTAAAAATTAAGTGAGAACTTTTACAGATGTCTGTGTCATGCTTGATTTAACTTAAACTTAACGTTCTTCCTGCTACTTAACAGTTATTTCACAGTGATATAAAACTTACGTTGCCGATTCTTCTGCTATCTGGGCTGCACTCATTGAACATGAAGCCTTAACTGCAATGACAGAATACAATGTCACATACTCATTGTAAATAACATACCGACTGTAGCAAATGTCAATGTAATATTTGGGAAATTAAAACAGGAAAACAATGATAAGGCTTAAAAAATAGTCCTATGGCTTATCAATGACTATATAAATTGCAACTTAATCTATACTCGGGAACTGTAATTAATCGTACAATGCATTTGCGTTGTAATATATTGGAACATGGATTGTTGAAATTCCCCTGCCAAGTGTAAACATAGGTAATATTGACCTGCTTGCAAATATTATTAACAAATTACAAGATCTACCCATCAGTGAGTTAACAGAGCGCAATTTGGAATATTAATGACAAAGCAAGGAGAAATTGCCATGTTTTGCCTTCCATTGCATTTCAGCAGATAATGAAGTGGGTTCCCTGACTGCAAAGAAATCAAGTTTTCCGAGTCTTAGTTTGCTGTCCCAGAAGACTCTTTACCAGATAATGGAGGCTTTCACTTGGGGAATATAAATGATGTGGTGACTATATTTTTGCTGAGTATTTAATTGTTTTTGCTTTCATATTTGCATCACAAAAGGAAGGGCGAATACTCAACATAATTTCTAGATTTAAAACTCAATAAATATTTTATTTACTTCTGTTTCTCAGCACAGATTATCAGGTTTCCCCCTATCACTCTACCCCTTCATTAAGAAAAAAACCTTCAAATAATGGGCCCAGGTCCAGATGAAAATTGGCTATTAAATTGGCAATAATGGCAATATATTATCCATATACTTTTGAAATAGGCTGCTGCCACTACAGTGGAGCTCCATTTTTTTTTATCAAACCTTCTTTTTATGTAGTCTATATTAGTGACTATAGCAATGGAAATGTGAAATTAACTTCTCTCATTAAGCTCATGAAATGTTTCATATTCAGGCCCATTCATCCCTAAATCTACAATTACAATTATTGATATTGCTCCAACATATTCTGCAGCACTCTACAAGAGGTAAACAAAATAAACACATTCTAAACATGATTAACAAACTAGAACAGTAAATTGAAAAAAATAACCAAGTAAATCTAGCACTGAATGTGCAGGATCTGGCGTGTCAGAAGTAACAAAAGTACTATTCAAATTGGTAATATCGACTGGCAAATATAAAACTCTTTAATTTATAAACTCTACTCATTCATTTATAAACTGAACTTTGAAGGCTTATATACAAAACCATGGACCACGGGACAAATTGTCAACTGCCCAGCAGGTTTGACTGGGGATATCAAGCAATATCCAAAAAAGGCCATGATAATCAAAGAAGTATAACATAGTAGCCATTTAGTTCTCTATTCCCCAGCTCACTTGTTGGCCGTGAAGGGAGTGATATAGACCCATGTTGCTCCCTGCAAAAGCTTTTTATAAACTAGTTAATAATGAAACTGAATCAACAGACTTCGCTGTGGCATCAATGGCAGGGCTCTTAATCCCCTCTCAAACAAATTCATAATTTTCAAATAGGCAGCAGTTGCCAAGAAGAAGAAAAATAAATATTAATTTAGGTTCTGATGCTTTAGCCAACTCAGGCCATGAGCTTGAAGGCAGACGCATACTGTCAAATTTTGTCCTGAGAAGAAGGGGTGTTAAATATGTTTTCTATGTGTCTTGAGATCTACTTCTAGGTTCTAAAGGAATTTACCTGGTGGCAGACTTTGAGGAGGTTCTGTAGGCTTTCCTGTTGAATCTGGTGTTTTAGATGGTGACTCCGGCTTTGTTACAGGAGGTTTAGCAGATGGAGTTGGGCGGAATGAAAATGATCTGGGCCAGGGTCCGGCTTTAAAAGATGTGATACCATTCTGTGTGGTTGTCTCATAGCTTTCTAGACCTGGCTTCTTCTGTACAGTTACTTGTCCTCCATCAGGGGTCAGAAATCCAGCATGGATAGCAGATTGGCAAATGGAGGACTCCTAGGAAACATATAGGCATTGCATAAACAGAATGGTTAATGTTCTGATAATTTAAAATGATCTTAAGCAAGGAAAAAAAACAGTAATTTCAGTTTATGTTCTTTGTTTTCATTTTGCTTTTTATTCACTTACATCTGCATATATGCCAGATCCCCAAACTTTCGTTACATGTTTTAGACATTCTGGTGGACATTTGACACTGAAATATAAATACAAATAAAGATTGCTTTCATTCTCTTCTAATAAATATGTTTCTTTGAAAAAAAAAAATGTTATTTGCGAAAAACAATTCTTCACTTTGATATGAACTTACTTTGCAATGGGTTCAGCTATCTCCTTCCCAGGCATTGTACATGTAGCCGAGACTGCAAGAATAAAATTTCCCATATATTTTTAAATTCCGATTTGGATTGATATGTATAACAACTCCATCTTCATATAACAGTATTCAATGACTATATATGTATAAACATGGTTTTTTAATGTTTGTACTATGAAATTGTCCATACATGCATGTGTGTATTTTCTATCTAGGTATGCTTATTTTTCCATGTGGTATATATTTAGTAGATAAGGAAGTGTAGTGAATTGAAAACTCAACTGCAAAACATTTGCAAAAATTGCTGTTTTGAAAAAATGATCTTGTCACAGCTTGGCTCATTAAAGCTACATTTTACTCTTAATTTTTTTTAGTTATAACTTAAACCCTTACATAAGATGTTTAGACTTTTTCAGTTTTAAACCTTTGGTTAGAAGAAAGTGATTTAATAATCTTTTTCTAATTCTCACATCTAATGATCAGCTGTATGATGTTTTCTGAAATATACAAATGTTGAACTTAACAAAAAATAATTTTCAATAGAGACCAAAACAGATACAAAGATATTCACCTGGTGGAAGTTTGGATGCTGGCTCTTTAGTCTTTTTTGGGGTAGATGAGGGATCAGATGTTTCCAAAGGTGATTCTTCACTTGTCACAGGTGATGGTACTGGAATGGGTTTAAAAGATCCAGTCCATTTCCCATGTTTAGAGGATTTCACTCCATTCCGTGTAGATTCTTCATATTCCTCCAGACCCGGCAGCTTATGTACTCTAACCACCCCTCCGTTGACGGGCACTACTCCAGCATGGATAGCAGATTTGCATATGGGAGAATCCTAAGGAATGCAATACAGATTTATTTTGATCTGCAAGCTATGAAATGTGCTGGTCCGTCTTTAACCTCATAACACAGACAGGGTTATTTACAAACATGAAAATTGTTGAAAATGTAAGTAAATTGTAAGTGAATTTTAAATTTAAGGCCAAACTAAAACTAAGTTGCAAAATATTTCCAGTACTGCCACGCTGAACTTCAGTTTGAAATTCACTTTGAAACCACATTGAATTCCCAACAATTCTTGCTTCAGTGAATAACCCTGAGTGGGTTCAAAATCAGTCTAATAATATTTCTTGTTACAATTTCTTACATCTGTGTAGATTGCGGTTCCATAAACAGTGCCTTTCGTTTTGTGGCAATCCTCAGGACATATGACACTGAAAAATATAGAGAAATAAATAAACTAGTGGCTCCTGTTTCCAATCCTTGTGATGAATATCTGCAGGGAAAAACAAAAATGTAAACCCAAACTCCAAATTCTGTCATTCAGCCTGCAGTCAGTGATCAGATAGCCATTAAATTAGTGGGTGGGCAGTTTCCTGTTGACCTGAAGCATATGCATTATTTGTGCCTGGACTCCATGGTTGTTTTTACTATCCATTTAATTTTTACTTGATCCCCAATCACCCTCAATTAGCTTTTACAACTTACTCTGCAGTTGATTCTGTTAACTCGTTAGCAGTCGTAGAGCAAGGAGCTTGTCGTGCTATAAAAGAAAAAGTGTTACATATCAATTATTGTGTTAAACTAAATGTGGGAGTGCACTTAGATACATATATACGTATTAAGTTACAGAATCAGCAAGAACACACGGAATAGTTATATGGCAAACACTGCACATATGATTGATGATAATCAGTAACCTTGAAGTAATTAGGAGTATAAACTCATCACTTTGCATAGTCCTAATTTGGAACTTGTTAATACTCTCACATTGATTTCTTTTAATTTGAAATAGTCATTAGTCATAGAGTATAGAGCTTGCTTACAGACATATAAAAAACTGTCACGTTGATGTCAGGAATATCTAAAAAAATATATGTGTACATTTTTTCCCCATTTATTTATACATCGTTACAGGAATTTCAGTATAGTAAACTGATATTACACCATATACCTTATATTTCACATTTTTTAAATATTAACATTAAAATATTTTTTCAACGATGTGTACATGTAACAAAAATAGGACATTTTCAAATGACCAGATTATAAATATTTGTAGGAAATCTAACAACATTTTCTGGAATGTAAAAAACAGCAATATGTGTATTGTGTCTGTATACAGTAAATACTGTTGTCTAGGTAAATTCAGCAATATATAGGTAATTTCAGGCTTCTAGGGTAACTTGTAAAGAAATACATTATGTTTCCAGGGACTTTTCTTTGACCCAATTTGATTTGGCATATAGCACACATGTCAAACTAGAAGTCTAGCCCGAGCCAAATAAACAAGGTTTAAGTTTATGTGGGGTGCAAATAATAAAAAAAAAAAACTTACATTTTCATAGAAACGTAGGTTTATTTTGAAAAGTACAGTATAAAAAACCCCCAGCACACTAGGGTAAAAGAGGGAAAAGAGACAAAGGACATAAAAGAGGCACAGGACTCCAAAAAAGAATATAAAGCAGAATGAAGAAAAATTGTGAATGGATCAAAAAATCAAAGATAGCTAGCCAATCCTTTAGCAGAAGTCTTCAATGGACATATACAATATTCAATAGTCTTGTGCAAAAATTAGTTTCCGACTTTTAATCCACACCTGAATTATTATTTTTTTATTGTAGATTTTTATAGAATTTTTTTTGATAATTTACAAAAAAGTCGACAAACAAAGACACAATATATGTTCGATTAATGTAAGTGAAACATCGTCATATATAACATCACCATGTACAATAAATTTATATCAAGTAAATTAGACATAACGAACATACAAAAATAAACAATAACGAACTAAAATAACCCTTCACCTATACAGTACAGGAGAAATTTTTTTAAGATATATTATAGCATATAATTACGAAGCTTTTACCGTATAACACTATGATGAACATACCATTTCAGTCACTAGAGATATTTTAACACTAACTAAAACACAAATGGTTAATACCCTATTTAGCTAAGTAGATAAATCCAAGGGTGCATTATCCATATAGCTGAGAGAGTTTTTGTAGCCAATTAGAATACCATTCTGTTTTTTTTGGACAAAATTATCGTGTTGTTTATAATCTCTTTTTCCATCGTCAATTGAGATGTAATTTGATTAATCAGAAGACTTTTCTGAAATGGGTTAGAGGATTTCCATTGTCTGGCGATAATACTTTTGACAGCGACAAAACAATGGGTCGCTAGACAAATATATTTGTGCGACTTTAGATGCCAATTTAAGTGTAAAAGGGCCGAGGCCGGATTTTTATCAATTTTATTAAGTGACACTGTGTAAAAGATGTTGAATGCCCACACCCATAGCGGTCTAACAATGGGGCAAGAGTGGGCAGAATACAAAGCTAAGATTGCATTGCGTATCCATCCCCTAAAGCCAAAAGCCTTTAGAACTTCATTTAAATAACCACACCCAACCCTGTCAAACGCTTTTTTGGCGTCTAAAGACAGGGCCAGGAGCGGTATGCAATGTCTCTTTGTCAAGTCAATAATGTCAATTAACGTTCTGGTATTATTGGATACCCATCTACCAGGGATAAACCCTATTTGATCCGGATGGATAAGTTTCAATATAATAATTTTTATTCTCGCAGTATATCTTCATATCTTTGTTAATTAACGCAATCGGTCTGTAGTTTTTAGGATCGGTGCTATCTTTATTCTGTTTCAGAATTGGAACAAGATTGGATTGCAATAGTTCCTTTGGAATTCAATTGTTTTCCGCTATTTGATTGAACATTTCAGTTAAGGGATTTAACAATTGAGGCTTCATATATTTATAATAAAGATTAGTAAAGTCATCATGGCCCAGAGTTTTATTTGTGGGTAATCTATCTATTTGGGCTTGGACTTTGTCAGGCAAAAATTATTTATTTAAGGTTGATAAATCTTGGCTAGAAATTTTTGGGATCAATGTATTAGATAGGTAATTTTGAATATCTATTAAGTTTGGACTCAGTTTCAAATTATAAAAGTCCTGATAAAATTGATTGAATTTTTGGCCAATTTGAGATGGAGTGGAATAGACGGTGTGATCATCCACCAATTTTTCCACCCTATTACTTGCGTAATGATTTTGGAGTCTCTTAGTTAATTTTTTATTGGCTCTGTTGCCGGTATAATAATGATTTATCTTTAATTTATTTATATTGATCTTAATTTTTCTTCTTCTTTTAAATTAATTTTTTTTTGTAGAACTTTTAAACAGGTTCTTAAATCAGGGGTAGAGTGTTGTTTGTTTAATTTTAAACATGTACTTACAAATACTTGCCATTTTTTTTTCTTAAAGATGTGACACATAATTAAATATCCCCTCATAACGGATTTATGCGTACACCAATTAATCGAAAGAGAGGTATCAACCGGATTATTTTCTGCCCAGAAATACTCTAATAGCTTGGTCAAATCATCTCTGTTATTTACATCTTTAATAAGAGCATCATTCAGTCTCCAGGTGGTACGATCTGTAGGGGATTATTACCGAGATCAAATAATACAAAGCTATGATCTGACCAAGGGTTGTCCTTAATGTTTATGGAGTTAAAGAGGGGAATTGTGTTAGCATTAGCTAAACAAAAATCAATCCGTGAATAAGTACCATACACACTAGATAGGTGGGAATAATCTTTTTTGAAAGGATGAAATAGGTGCACAAAAATGAAAACAATGTAGTATAACTACACAAGAGGGGAGACCCACCTAAGTAGCCAAAAAGCATTGCCGCGAGGGCATTCCCCCCATCATTATTCAAGGGATAGTCTGGGTGGATAGAATCGAAAGCCACAGCTAATAAAGTTACTTTTATGGCAAATGCAAAAAAAAATTAATACAAAAAATAAATAAATAAATAAATAATTATGCCATATTAATTGTCTTCCCATGTGTTACAAAAATATATCACAATGATCCGTTAAGTTATATTACCACTCGTTCAATTCAGAACCATTGGGGAGTCCCCACTCAGACATTTGGCTCAAAAGCACAAGTAAGTGAACATAAAAAAGAAAGTTTATAACAAATCAAGTGTGTATCATAATAGAAAACCTATGCCTAGGTCCGAAGTGTAGTGTTCCTTTGGACAGTGAAACTTTAAAAATATTACAATTTTGCTCAGTAGAGATCACATAAATATTGCGTTTTGTAATATCTTCCACTCTGCTGCTACAACATAGTGTGAAAATCTAATTTTAGTTTAATCCTCTTTACTCTCTTCCCTCTATCTTCCCAGATTTGCTATATATGTAACTATATATTAGTTTAAATTCGAAAAATATCATAATACCAATAGGGGTAGAACGAGCATAAACAGTGATAGTTAAATATAATAATAGATTGTGCCTTATATAAAAACAATATTTGTGCCCACCTCATAGTCTATCCATGTGGTACAAAAAGTAAAACAATAAACTAATTTTGTTTTGATCACACTCAAGTTAGCTTCATTCTGTGAAAAAAAAAAATTCTTCCTTTTTCCCTTCCCTTTTCTTTTCTTTTTTCCCTTCTATTAATTTACCTCCCATGTATTGCAAAAATATATAGCATTAGACCGTTGAATTAAGATCCCTCATGGATATCCTATAACATCTTTCCAAGCACCCTATATATTAGATTCATTAATCATTTTTTCGGAATCATTAAAGAGTCACGTCTAGAACCATTGGCTCATGAGCGCTAATATATGCACATAACGTAGGGGAGAAGAAAAAAAACAAACAAAAAAAACATTGTATTAACAAACAGAACCCTTACGCCCTGAAATTAATTATCTAGACAAGCAGTTTGTTCCTTTTCAGCCATTCTATCAGATTGACATTTGAATCAAATAATTATCTTTTCCCATCGTACGTCAGAGTTAATTTTAAAGGGTATAGCCACCTATATTTTATATTATGTCCCCTAAGAGTTTGGGTGGCTAGACTGAACGATTTTCTTTTGGTTCTGGATACAAAGGATAATTCCTGAAACACTTTAACATTTTGGAAGTGACCAGTGGAAATCTGATTTTCTCTTGCGGCTTTCAGTATCAACACTTTAAATTCATATGAGAAGAAGGATGCAATAATATCACGGGTGTGTCGTTTTAGATTGATTGCGGTTTAAAGAGTCTGTGACACCTTTTTATTGACTGTTCTTGTAAATTACATGCAATACCTAAGGCAGATAAGTATTCCGTCAGAGTTTGTTTTATATCTTCCTGTCTTCCTTTCTCTGCCAATTTTCTAAATCATATTTTTTTTCACCTGGAACGATCTTCTAGGTCACATAATTTAAGCTCTTACGGTGTGCCTTTTGGCTATCATCTGCTAGATTTTTTACTTGAAAATCCATTTCTTTTAGCTGATCCTCAAAACTTTCAATTTTTGCGACAAGGACATTTATTTCCTGTTTTATGTCTGATTTGATTTCTGCATCTGCTGAGTCCAACTGAATTTTTATTTCTTCTAAATTAGCCTTTAGACTAGCGTGTAGCTGGGAGATTGTTATCAAGTCCTTATCAGGGTTTTTTTTGCCCTCTGATTTCATACTTTCTGAGCTGAGATCCATATCATTCATCTTCTGTTTGATAGATTTATGTTGCTGTGGAGAAAAATAGGTCGAAAATGATTTGTCCTTTGGTTTATCCTGTGCGGGATCTTTTTTGTCCTTTCTCATAGAGGATTTTGTTTCATGTGATTCTTTAGAGGCCATCGTGTAGAAATCTCTTAATAAGGGTCTTCAAATATATCTCAATTAACCTAGACAGGTTAAGTCTGCACGTCTGCCATTTTTATGATGGTTAAGGATCTGCAAATATCTATATTTACCGAGAGAATGAATAGACTGCTCAATTATAATAGCCTTAATACAAATGACAGCCATGTTGGGATAGTAATAAAATTATTCATATATAGAAGTGAAATTCACTTATCTTATGTAGCAGCTGATGATGTATAAGCACCATGAAATACAGAATAGTGAATATCTCAGCGTCCTCTGCGGGTTACAGTAGCTTATCGTGCTGGTGTCCTCTAAAGCTTCCACGAGGATTAATATATAGCAGGGCAGTCTGCTGCAGATACTTTGTAAACGGCAAGCTCAATCTGAGGCGTGGTATATTACTCCACGCAGTAATATTGCAGATATGCTGGCTTATGGCTGTCTTGTGGCTGTCGCTGGGCCAAGGATATAATGCATTATATTGTCTGGGATGCGTGAAGGATGCGTAATGAGGTAATTATAAATTAATTGAAAAAAGCCACATGCATATGCTAACTCACCCCGCATTCGTCGGGAGATTTTGGTCCAAATTGTTTCACCAAAGTGATGATAGACAGGGGAGAAAGCCCTCGAGGTCGGCTACCTAAGATCGCGCCGAGTCATGGCGGGACACCCCTCCTCTGCCGTCATCATGGCGTCAGCACGCCCGCACGTCATGACGCCCCCCAAAAAGTATGGCATTTTTTCTAATCCACACCTGAATTAATTGATCCTTCCAGGGTTTAGCTGTGTAGGCTTATTCATTAAATAAGATTTTACAGGTAAATCCTTGAAGGATCAATTCATTTGGCTGTTGATTCAAAGGAATTGGATTTGGACAAACTGATTAAAAAATATAAATCCGTGTGTCTAATATCTAATGTGTCCAGGTCTTCTTGAAGCACACTGATTATTGGATGAGGCTATTGACCATTCCAAACACCACAGCCATCCATCCTGTCCACCCGTTCCCTGGGCGTAGGCACACACCCAGAATATCAGCAAAGCATAATCTGTGATATGTCCACCAAAAGCAGATGACAGCCCATGAAACATTGAAAAACACCTCAAGGAAGTATGGCTCATGAAGAGTTTGGCATCTGTGTGAAACAACAGATCATCTATGTGAACCTGCAGTACTACCTCAAAGACTCCAGACTAAAAACAACCAATAAGAAGACAGCTCCACCAAAATGTGGAGATATGGGACTGCTCTGGATGGCAGTGCCAGCAAGTTTGGTGAGTCCAAGAAATACTACCTCACCTTGTCAGTGAGGTAGCTCAGTTGGTAAATTCCCTGACTACAAAGCCTGTTCAAAAATGCAAGGTCACAGGTACAAATCCCAGGCAGCATCAACTCAGCCCTTCATTCTTCGAGGTCGATAAAATGAGTACCATCAATTGGGTAATACAGGTGGTCCTCGTTTTGCGACCTACCTGTTTTACGACGTAGGTCGTCATTGGAATTAGAGGGATTCCCTGCTCTGTTGCGTTCGTCTATGTTCGGGGAAATATCCCAGAAAAGATTCCCTGCTCTGCTGCGTTCTTCTATGTTCGGGGATATTTCGCCAAACATGTACGAACTCAACAGAGCAGGGAATAACTATAATCTATGTTTAGAGAAATTTCTCTGAGCATAGATTAGAGGGATTCCCTGCTCTTGTGCGTTCGTCTATGTTCGGGGAAATGTCCCTGAACACAGACATGAACACCAGAGCAGGGAATGCCTTAAATCTATGTTTGGGGAAATTTCCTCGAACATAGATTAGAGGGATTCCCTGCTCTGTTGCGTTTGTGTATGTTCGGGGAAATGTCCCTGAACACAGACATGCACACCAGAGCAGGGAATCCCTTAAATCTATGTTCGGGGAAATTTCCCTGAACATAGATAGAGGGATTCCTTGCTCTGTTGCGTTTGTCTATATTCAGGGACATTTCCCCAAACATAGAAGAATGCAGCACAGCAGGGAATCCCTTAACTCCTCACTTACCAACTAATTTGTTCTACGACCAGGTCGTGGAAACCGAACCCGGTTGGTAAGTGAGGAGTGTCTGTAATAACATCTATTAGTATTCAGCTGCCAATTTGGTTAATCCAGAGAGCGTGACTTGAGTCCCATTGGGAGAAAGGTGCTTTATAAATACTAGTTATTATTATTATTATTATTACTAGAAGCCTCAGTATTGACTCTTCTAGTAACAGCTTAGAACAGGAGTAGGCAACCTTCGACACTACAGATGTTGTATACTACCTCTCCCATAATGCTCGTAGAGCCATAATGCAACAAGATATAGCTGTGACAGCCTATAACAGTGACTGTGTGCTTTTTGTGAAAGATGATTCCAGGCTGCAGCATTACATACCATGCGTTCCAGACACCAAATGATTCTAAACATTTTAGTAAAATCTAAAATTAAGATGTCCATTTTCACTTAATGCGACAGCTAATAAAATGTACATATGTCTCATAAACACTTATCTGCAGTGACAAAACAGATTAAAAGACAGTCACCTGGTGGTAGCTTGGATGCTGGCTCTTTAATCTTTTTTGGGGTAGATGAGGGATCAGATGTTTCAGAAGGTGATTCTTCACTTGTTGCAGGTGATGGTATTGGGTGGGTTATAAAAGATCCAGTCCATTTCCCATGTTTAGAGGATTTCACTCCATTCCTTGTAGATTCTTCATATTCTTCGAGACCCGGCAGTTTCTGTACTCTAACCACTCCTCCCGTTTTGGGCAATACGCCAGCATGGATAGCAGATTTGCATATGGGAGAATCCTAAGGAATAAAATACAGATTTTATTTGATCTGCAAGCTATGGAATGTGCTGGATCGTTTTTTGGCATCATAGCACAGACAGGGTTATTTACAAACATGAAAATAGTTGGGAATGTAATGTAAATGAAATGTAAATTTAAAGTTGAAGGCCAAAGTAGACAATTTAGAAGCATTACTGACTTAGAGATTTTTTTTTCAGTTCAGTTACGTTGACCTTTAGTTTGACATTCACTTTGAATTAACACTGGATTACCAGCAATTCTCACTTAATTAACACTGGATTACCAGCAATTCTCATTCTCACAATTCTCACTTAAGTGAATAACCCTGAAATGTTTCAAAGCCAGTCTAATAATATTCATTGTTACAATGTCTTACATCTGTGTAGATGGTGGTTCCATAAACTGTGCCTTTTGTTTTGTGGCAATCCTCAGGACATATGACACTGAAAAAAAAGAGAAATAAATAAACTAGTTCCTCCTGTTTCCAATCCTTGTTATAGGTATAGGCAGGGGAGAAATAAATATGTAAACCCCAACTCCACATTCTGCTCTTTCAGATCTGTCATGCAGTCTGCAATCAGTGATCCAATAGCCATTGAATTCTTGGGTGGGAAGTTTCCAAAGCATATTCATTTTTTGTGCCTGAACTTCAGTCCAATCCTTGTTATAGGTATAGGCTTTACCTATGCATTTAACTTTAATTGATCCCCAATCACCCACAATTAGTTTATACAACTTACTCTGTATTTGATTCTGTTAACTCGTTAGCAGTCGTAGAACATGGAGCTCGTCGTGCTATAAAAGAAAAAGTGTTACATATTAATACTTATGTTAAACTATACTTGTGAGTGCATTTAGATACCTGTTTGTATTAAGTCACAGAAACAACAAGATCACATGGAATAGTTAAATGGCAAACACTGTCCATATCTTCTTTTTTAACCCTCCTAATAATGTACTTAACGCATTTGATTTGGGTTCAATCATTTCTGATATTCGATTAGTAATTTACAGATTTTATAGTCTATAGAGTGTAGAGAGTTATTTGTTTTCTTGGTCCTAAATTAGGTAGATCTTAATCTTTTCACTACTGATTAATTTTTTATTTTTATTAAAGAAACAGTAAAGCATTAGAAATACCAAACTGTATTCCTACCACTTAAAGGGACACTAAAGTCACCAGAACAACTACAGCTTGATGTTGTTGTTCTGGTGAGTATAGTCAGTGCCTGCAGGCTTTTTGCAGTAAACACAGTTTTTTCAGAGAAAAGGTAGTGGTTATTTTGCTCCCTAGGCACACCTATAGTGGCCACTCCTCAGATGGCTACTAGAGGTGCATCCTGGGGCACTGTGCAGCACTGAGTTTAAGTGTCTACTGTCACGTATTCATCCACTTATAAAAATGTGGTTAATGACATTTACTGTCCACACAGGAAAAGTTGTGCCGAGCAGCAACCTAATCCACAGAAGGGTTAATGCTGAGCAGCAATTATGCAAATGAAACCTGGTAACTGACTTTGGGGTCAAAGGCCGGTTACAGCCTATCAGAACTAAAGGAGGGGTATTTAGGCCCAGTTCTCAGCCTGCTCAGTGCCCTGTCGTGGTTTCCCTTGTGGTTGTCCGAGAGCGCGTTCCTGTTTATAGTTTTCTACCTGGTTTTTGACTTTTGCTTTGTTTATTGACTTCTCTATATTCTGGTATCCTGACTCCTGGCTTTCCTCATCGCTGCGTCCCTTTCTGTGTTCCCTGACTTCAGCTAGTATTTTTTACTATTCTATGTACGTTAAATCCGGCCATTCTAAGGACCGGTAATACGTTACTTATTTGTCATCCGTGCTATACAGTTCTACGTGCTGGATCAAACAGTAATCCTGACATCTACACCCTCTCCATAGAGAAACTGAACTTACCTCATAGAGATACATAGATTTAGTACATCTCTATGAGGAGATGCTGACTGTCTAGGGGAGTGTTTGGCTCTGTCCTCCGTCCGGGCTTCCTTGGATGAGATCATCAAAATTGACAATCTCAGCCAATACAATGCTTTCCTATTGGCAAATATCATCACTTCTGGTGATGTCAGTCAAGGAGGCAGATCAGGGGCAGAGCCAGCACCAGTAGACTGGAATAAAGATTAAGAATAAGGTTTTACTATATCTAGGTGGATAA